ATACACACGCATCCCCCTACGTAACACAGTGATCAACATACACACACACAAATACAGCAATACACATACACATGCATCCCCCTACATAGCAAAGCGATCTACATACACACACACCCCACACACACAACACACCAGCGCACATATACACACACGTCCCCCTACATAACACAGCGATACACACATACACACATAACACACCAGTGCATGTATACACACACATCCCCCATGTAACACACTGATATACACACACACATATCCCCCTGTGTAACACAGCGATATACATACACACACACACACACACACTCTCTCTCCATAATACACTGATCTACATACACACACACATCCTTCCCCATAACACACCAATAGACACAGAGACATCCCCCCACATAACACGTCAATACACACGCACATATTTCCCTATGTAACACAAGGGATAGAAGGAGAGTTGATGCCTTTGAGCTGTGGTGCTGGAGAAGAGTATGGAGTGTCCCAAGGACTGATAAGAAAATAAACAGGTTTGTCCGGGAGAGGGTAAAACCAGGGTGCTCCATGGAGGTAAGGATTCTGAGGCTCCGTCTAACATACTTTGAACATGTTGTAATTAGGGACCGGTCCTCGAAGAGGGACATCATGCTTGGGAGGGTGGAGGGAAAGCGCAGGAGGGGAAGGCCCTCTATGAGGTGAATTGATTCAGTGACTGGGGTAGTGGGGGTAGTGTCGGAGACAGTGAGATTGGCACAGGACAGAGCAGGGTTTAGGGTTACTATGAGTCGCAAGCTCAAAATATACATACGCACATATCCCCCCACATAACACACTGATCTACTTACACATCTCCCCACATAACACACCACACGCATGCTCTTATGTAACACACAACATGCATACACACATCGCCCCACATAACACACCAATAAATGCACACACATATCCCCCTACGTAACACACAATTTACATACACACGTCCCCGCACACATCACATGATATACACACACCCATTTAACCCAAATCCACTGCCATCAAGTCCGTCATTCCCGCTCAGCGTGAACCCCATTAGGTTCCAAAGCTCTAAATTGTTACTCATCTTTATCCCCCGAAGCCACTGGTGGATTTGAACTGCCAACCTTATGCAACACATTATGCACTATGTCACCTGGACTCCTTACACATACACATACACATATGTATACATATAGTTGGGGGAGTTTTATCTATTTTCACTTTGTATTGTGATTTGATGGAAGTTAACCAGTGTACTGGTTTTTCATTCTCTCCCTCACACACATCCTGTCTCCCACCCCTCAAGTCCCCTCACTCCCATCCCTCTGTCTCCTGCCCACTCTGTCCCAGGGATCCTTCTCCTGTCCGCCCTGCCCCAGGGCCCTGTCTCCTGCCCACTCGGCCCCAGGGATCCTTCTCCTGTCCGCCCTGCCCCAGGGCCCTGTCTCCTGCCCACTCGGCCCCAGGGATCCTTCTCCTGTCCGCCCTGCCCCAGGGCCCTGTCTCCTGCCCACTCGGCCCCAGGGATCCTTCTCCTGTCCGCCCTGCCCCAGGGCCCTGTCTCCTGCCCGCAGCTCTTCTGACCCTCTGGCTGCTGTTCCAAGGAGCAAGTACCGCCTGCTGTTGGGTATTTGATCTCACTATGGCTTTTTGTTTGATTTTTGTCTTTAGACTTTGTTATCTTGAAAGAAACATCATCAGAGGCAAACAAACTAGAGTGAGCTGGGGTTTCCTTTCATTGTCCCCAGAGAAGGCAGGAAGCTGATACCATGCACAGCAGCAGGGTCACCACCTGGGACACAGCGTCCACCTAGGAGAAGGCTACTGCTGAGATGGGCGGCCGGCTAAACCGCTTATTCCACAGAATGGAGAAAGACTTCTTCACTAATCGAGTCGGGGGTATGTTTAATATGCACAGAGTACGAAGCTATGCCTGATGGTACAGGAGGCAGTGGGAGGGCGGCCAGCCAGTGAGAATCACCGCAAAGGTACACATGCTCAATGCAGGAAGCAAACGCCCTGGGGCTGGCCTGGAGCCCCAGAGAGAGAAAACAGGGCCTTGATCTCCCCACCCTGGAGGGCAGAGGACACGCACTCTCCTCGGAGCTTCTGAAAGGGAGCCCCACCAGATGCAGGGGCGCAGCATTCACTTTCAGGTCAGCCAGAGGCCTGGAGCCCGCAGAGCCCACGGGCAGAGCTGTCTGCTGGAGCTGTCTGCACATCAGCCCTGCCAGGGGAGGGATCCAGGACGGGGCAGGTGGAAAAGACACGGCCAGCTGTGTCACACTCATGTCACCTCCCTGTCCCCACGACAAGTGCACTCCACCTCCCCGTGCCCGGGTGCCCAGGTGCTGCACACAACACCTCCCCGTGCCCGGGCTTTGCACACATCACCTTCCTGTGTCCACGTGCTGCACACATCACCTCCCTGTGGCCCAAGGCAGGTACATAGATGCTATGAACGCACATGCCAGTTCCCCATCATCTGAAAGGCTGCAGAGACTCTGCTTCCCATAACTGGACTTGTGCACCGGCACGTCAGCTCCCTTCTGGACCAAAGCCACACCGCTGTGACCTTGGGCTGGCCTTCCCTCCCCTCTCTGCTGCAGCCTGGCCTTGGCATCAGCCCCTGCCTGCGTTCCTAGGGATAAAGCTGCCATAATCCACTGTCCCAAAAGCTAACCCAACATAAGCCTTCCTAACCCTTCTTGCTGGAGAGCCCACAGCCTTGCGCCCTGGCCGCATGGCTGGCAGTGATGGCTGCCCACCTCTCCTCCATTGTGCTTTCTTCCTGGGTCTCGGGCTCCATCAAGACACCTGGGAATGTCAGCATGAGTGTTCAGTGGCTGCTGTAACAAATGACCACAAGCCCAGGGTCCAGACACAGCACAAAGCATCCTACAGCTCTGAGGCAGAAGTCCAGCTGGTCTTCTGAGCTCAAATCAGGGTCAGCACCACTCGGGAGCTCCCTGGGAATCCAGACCCGTACCACTCCAATTGTCGTCACCAGCACATGAGTGAAAAGCCCATCACTGGGCATGGATCCAGCCGGAACCTGTGCTCTGAACCCCCAAGCTGCCAGGTCACTTGTGAGGATCCCTCCTCCAGGACAGTCCCTAACGGGATGCGGTGGTGTCGAGGCGCCTTCTCCACCGACAGGTGCACGACAAGAGTGACAGCAGTAGAGGTGTGTGCACCTGAGTACAGGCTCCTGCTGGTGACACAGGGGGGAGCAGGCCGCCACGCTCAGTCAGCACCACGGTCAGTGCCACAGTCACCGCCAAGGCCTGGACGAGAAGGCTGGGCTCCTCCCCACGTCAGTCCTCATGGTTTTGGAGGGGACACAGGCCAGAGCTCTCCAGGAGGGGGCCGGTCAGGAGCACAAGCCCTGGGCGTAAGGCCAGTCCGTTAGATACCAAAGGGGTGTTGTGGAGCCCCAGAGGCCTCGGGGACAGGAGCCAAGCAGGGGCTGAGGGGGTGACTATACAGTGGCAGCTGTCCCTCACACTCAAGCAGGGTGACCACAGTGGCAGCTGTCCCCACGCTCAAGGGCCAAGCTGCACCGGCTCGGGTCGGGACTGAGGAACGGCGCATGGACCCCGCAGCCCTCGGGGTGTCAGTCACATGGGGGAAGACTACCCATCATTCTCCCACAGAGCCGCTGGTAGACGCAGAGCCCCAGCAGCACCGCCTGTGGGTTCACAGCGCGAACATTTCCAGTGTGCACCACCAGAACCCCTGCCTCCCCGGGATTCGGAGTGCTGGCTCCCCGCCTTTGATGGGCACCGTTACTGCAGCCCTGGCTCCCCAGCGCGGGCCTCTAAGAGCCGGTTTCTCCCAGGGATCTGACACCAGGAGGCGGCTTATATTGGCTTTGGGGACAGAGCGCGTTGTCGGGAGTTTATGGGTGATCTAGCCTCAGTCCTGATTGTCTCGGAAGTGAGACTGAGAAGAATCACTAGACAAATTGTGGCGGCTGCTGTCAGGGTGATTCAGCTCAGGGCTGAGACGCAACCTGGAGAGACGAGATGTCACAGCCCCACAGAGACAGAGCAAGCCCTGGTGGGGTGGTGTCCGAGCTGGAAATCAGAGGGCGGGCAGGGCGACCCACCATCCCTGCTCCCTGGGGGAAGGATGGGGCCTTGGAGAGCCCAGGGCAGTTCTGGCCTGTCCTTCGGCGTCACTGAGTCCCACCAGCTCAAGGGCACACAGGCTGCCTTTTACTTGGCTTAGGCTGAGAGAGGCCTCGTGGGTTGCTTGCATACGATTCTGAGACTGCAGTGCCTCTGAGGGGCGCGTTCTGGTCCCAGGACTCCCGGCGCAGTGCTTCCCCGGGGCTGGCTCAGCCAACGACCCCCAGGGTCCTAGCTCACTACGGAGCTGATGGAGCACACGAGCGGGTGGTTTTCACAAGCAGACACTTATTTCCTTACCATTTCAAATACTTACTCGATGCTGTTTCTCATAGCAAACTCACGTGCAGCAAAACAAACCCTGTCTGACCCTGTGCCGACCTCACACCCTCTGCTGTACCCACCACAGCCAAGCCGGGGGCTCATCTTCAGCACTTAATCAGGTAAAGACCGGCTGCTGCTCACAGGGCTCCCCAAGGTCACCACTTCAGAAGCGGGTGGTCATGCCTGCTTCATAGGGCGTCGGCTCTGAAACTCTGCTC